GGGGACGGGGGAGCGGGGGGGGGGCGCGGGCCACACAAGAAGTGGCTAGGGTCACCAGGGGGGTCTCAGGGTCACTGGAGGATAACGGGGAGATACTGGGGGCACTGGGAGATGTGAAGGCAGGCTGAGGGACAGAGATGGGGGACACCGGGGGAGCCTTGGGGATGCTGGGGGCTACGGAGGGGACACTGGGGGGACAGTGGGGCCGTCGGGCCGTCTCACCCTCCTGGCCTCACTTTGGTACTTCACGGCCTTTTTGGTGTCGGCCACGGCCCGTTCCACGAAGCCGACGGACTGGTCCATGTTGTTCTCTATGCGGTCGATCATGGCTCCCTACGGGGCGCGCAGGGGCGGCGGGGCGGAGGCAGAGAGAGACGGAGAAAAGAGAGAAGACGAGGGGGGACGCAACACGCTGAGAGCACCCGTGGGTGCCGGCACCCACCCACCCACCTTGCGCGCCTGGCCCTGGTACTGGAGAGCCTTCTTGGTCTGCTGGTTCGCCTGCTCCACGTGCTCGGTCGTGTGCATCACGTATTGCTCCACGTTATCCAGCAGCCCACCCTGCGGGGACAGGAGATGAGGAGCGGGGGGGACACACGCTGAGATGGGACCCCCACGGCACGGCCCCACGGCACGCGGCACAGCCCCCACGGCGCAGGTACTCACCCTTCCCCGGCGCACACAGTGGCTCCTCGCGTTGCATGGAGGGGAGGGGATGGGACAGAAAAGGGCTGAGAGAGGGGCCGGGACCACCGCGGTGTGGGACGCACCCCTGCAGACCCCTGTACCCTCTCCCAGGTCCCCACGGGCTTGGGTGCTGGGTGGTCCCGGGGCGGACCACCACCCAGACCCGTGTGTCCCCCTGCGTGGGTCCCTGCGGTGGCCTGCGTGGTCCCATGCAGGTGCTCCCGGGGCTGCGTGCCACCCTGTGTCCCCACGGAGCCCTGCGCAGCCCTGAGTGCCAGTCCCTGTGCGGCTTCATGCGCAAGTCCCTCCTCATCCTCATGCACAGGTCTCGTCCCCGTGAAGCCCATGCACAGGTCCCTGTTTGTCCCCAGGCAGAGGTCCCTGCTGGTCCCCACACGTAGGTCCCTGCTGGTCCCCGTGAAGCCCCGTGCACAGGTCCCTGTTTGTCCCCATGCAGATGTCCCTGTTGGTCCCCGTGAAGCCCCGTGCACAGATCCCTGCGTGTCCCCATACAGAGGTCCCTGCCGGTCCCCATGCAGCCCCGTGCACAGGTCCCAGCTTGTCTCCACGCACAGGTCCCTGTTTGTCCCCACGTGGATGTCCTTGCCGGTCCCCATGAAGCCCCACACACAGGTCCCTGTTTGTCCCCATGCAGAGGTCCCTGCATGTCCCCACACACAGGTCCCTGCTGGTCCCCATGCAGCCCGTGCACAGGTCCCTGTTTGTCCCCA